ATTATAGCTGAGTGGCCAAAAGGAGGCACAAATGCAAACTGATGGGTTAAACCAAAACATCTTTAACAAATACAGCCTATGCCCTGCTAATATTAGCACTCGCTTGCTCTCTCTCTACTATACTATAGTATGTCTATAGTATGTCTAAGCAGACAATATGAATGCACTCCAGTGTATCGTCTAAATGCTCCAGCAGGATGACTTGTTAGCTTATATACTTAGTTCATGGCAGAGCTCTTCTCCACATCTAATAAATGCAACAACTACAGCAAAATCACTATTCTTTTGCCAATTTTGTTTTCTTACGCATCATCTTCAACTGCTTGGTATATACTTACATAAATCATAGAAAATAAGACAATACAGGCCATAAACAATGTAAGTGCAGAATAACTCCAATTACCTTGCAGGAGAGAGGGAACAGTACCAGCAATAATAATCCTAAGAATCAACCAAAACTTGGAATCATTTAGTGACAACCAAGCAAAAATGAAAATAGCAAGATAAGAACTGAATGACTCTCAATATCCTTATCAATTTTGTCTGAAAGAAGCCTAAAATACTTTGTTTGAAAGAAGCCTAAAAATAAACAAGCAATGCCTTGGACACTAGAAACCTGTATACTTACAAATAGCTAGAGAAATATTATACTGGTTTGATATCAGTATCATTCTGAATTGGTTGGCACAATCAGCCAACTCCAGGCTATCAACTGGGGAAGGTCTCATTTAATAGGAAACTGATCAGGTGCAAAATGATAGAATTGGCTTTTACAGGAGGTTTCTAAAACTCTTTCATAGTCAGAATTATTGAAACACTGGAAACTTCCGATCTCTCCCATGAACTTATGAACACTCTGAGGACCTAACTGGACAAAACTGCTTGTAACTAAATCCTGATGGTCATTTCAAAATAAAAACTATTTCAACTGGAGATGGGAATTTGGGAGTAGAGCAGCAGTGGCAAATGACTGAATTCCAAATCCTATCCATGACCACAACTTCCTTAAAAGGGGGAATGCTTCTTTGAAATCCCACGAAGGGTAAATATTCATTCAAAATGCACAGAGGAGAAGGGAAACTTGGGTGAGCAATCTAGAAGGAGCAGATGGAGAAGTATTATGGAATCTCTCCTGATTGCCATTTCTATGATACAAATTACTGCTAAAGTAATTTCTTCCTTTAAACTATGCCACCAGGGTTTTGTTAATGCATTGGTGCTGAAAGACTAGTTAGGCCCTCAGGGGTAATCTGTAAAGGTTACAGAGTCTATAATTGACATAATAAGAATGTAAAAATAATACAGCTTAAGAATAGAGAAACTGCAGCTCTCCAGATATACCTGGGTTCTGGCTCTCATCAACCCCACTAGCACTCCCATCGGTAATGATGGGAGTTACATTTATAACAATATCTGGAGGGCCCCCAAGCTGGCTGTCTGACCAAGCTGGCATGGAATTATTGGCATTGGAGCCCATCACATCTGAAGGGCATCAGGTTGCTGGAGCCTGTTCAATGCCAAGCAGCAAAAAGCAAAAGTGTTGTGTATGTATGCAAGCAACATTAGGGTACAAAAGTTATTTGAAGTGAGCTGTGCTTCCTGCACAATTCTTTCTTCTCCAATTAATTGAGCCACACTGTTCACCTATATTATCAGTCTTAATCAATTTTTCCAATACTCCTAAAATGAATAGTCACATCCTTGTAAAAATGTGCATGGCGGCCCATTAATATGTAAGTTAATTTAAAAAAAACTTTTTTAAAAGAAGGAGCTCTAACCTTACACCAGAAAGCACAATTTAAAAGAAGAAAACGCGGAGAAAATCAGGACCATTTGTATTTCTCTTAATGTTGCTTCAAAAAGAACACAAAAGCACACAGAGAAAATAATGACAACAATAGAAGCTGTTGCTACTTTCCCTCTGACCAAGAAGGAGAAAATCTGTTTTCCCCCATACACAACAGAATTGTGCTTTGCTGGGTAGGGTGCACAGGGTCATCTACACATCTGAAAAACACCAAATAGGGAAAGACTGAGCTAGAACCCAGGCCAGCACTTGTTCTTAGTGGCAGAGCTCAGTCTTGTGGTTAAGGATAAAAATCAAATAAATAAATAAAACATCTATTTTACTTACCAAGTGTAACTTGAACCAGTTTTCCAGGCCCGAGAAGATCCTGGAAGGGTTCATCCAGGAACTGACAAAATACCAAGTGCCAGCCTAGTTAGTGGGAAGCTGGTGCCCAAGGTCTTTGGAAAACATCATCCAAGGAGGTGAGAATGACCAGAACTGGCCTCAAAGACGCCAGAGTTAATAAGTGATGACTGGTTAATGACCGGCACCTTGATTTAATTGCTGGCCCCAAGGACTGGAAGATGGGCTATCCCCCCCAGGTCAACTGACTTAAGCTGGGAAGTCAGATGAAGCCCAAATAGAGCAGCCTTTTGTTCCGCTCTTGAAAGGTTCCATTTCTGCTGCTGTCTGTCCATGCTAAAAAGTGCTATGGCATCTTTTGGAAGGCACAGTTATTGTACATAGGCTAGGATAGAAGCAATTTGTCATTTTGTTGTTCGAGGGGGCCGACAAGGCCCTGGGACTGAGGTTCTTGCTGTTACTTTGTCTTGCTGCTGCTGCACAATTCCCCTTTCCCCTTCCCTTCCCCCTCTTTACAGTTTTTCTCCTTTTTTTAGATTCTGTATTTTAGTCCCTCTACTCCTATATTTTAACCTTTTAATAAAGTTGTTTGTTTCCCTACCCTTGTGCTGAATCCAGTGGCTGGTCCAGGGTGCTGGGACTAGGAATTCTCTGGGCAGGATTTGGCCCAGTTGGCTGGGGGAATGGGAAATCTCTGCTGGCTTTCCATTATACCAAGTAATTGTAAGTATCCTTCTGTTGAATATATAGCCTTCATCCAGCTTTGAATAAGTTGCATTCAAAAGCAATTTCTAAGTTGCTTTCTCTTAAGGCAACTATAAAAAACACAAATATATAAGTGTTCATGCCACACCTTCTTTTATGATTCAACCTCAGAGCCAGGAAATGGTAACTAGGAGGAGGTAAGAGGTCCCTGCAAGCAAAAGTTTGCATTCACAGACCACACATATTCTGCTGAGTTTTCATTTCAATTTCCTGAAGCTACAATCAACCTCTTCCTAAACAAAAGCTGATTGCTTCTATCAGAAAAGTACTAACTTCATAATTTCCAAACTTCAACCAATACTGAACATGACAATATTTTAAAAGGCAGACTTACACTGTGCAGTATTTGCCAAAGCAAGGTTCCAAGTCACCTGGGAACTTGTTAATAGCATGCCCTTATTAAACACCCTTAAAGGTAAGGGTGGGAAATATGTGGCCCTCTAGATATTGCTACATTCTAATGCCTATCATTCCCATCCATCCATATAATGGTCATTAACTGCATAAATTGTGCTCCAACAAAATCTGGAGGGCCACAGGTTCTCCACCCCAATTTAAAAGAGGACCATTTAAAATACCATGCCTTTAAGAGTCTCATACTGCTCAGCGAGTCATCAAATAAAATCTTCGAAATCTCCTTTGTATATTACTTTTCTGTGACTGACTGCAGGCAAAGCTGGAATCTGTCAACCTAGGCTAAGAGAAGGTACTATCCGAAAAGCATTCATAAAGGGGAAAAAGGCATTTGAAATGATTGTGTGGCTCAAAATAACATCAGAATGCCTCCAACAACAACAAAAAATGAACCATTTGTGAATTGATGAAATCAGAAATTCTCTTTTTCATGTATATTCAAGAAAAAAAAACAGCATCTAAAAATGAAAGTTACCTCAAATGTAAAGTTTAGGATCACATGAAGCACTAAAAACATTCTGTACAAGGGTAAAAACAATGACAAAAACCTGTCTGGCAGTTTACCATCTAGTATAAAACTGATTATGGCAAGAAGGGAAGGGGAAATCCCACTGTGTGAGCAGAAGTCTACTTTGGTACTGTTAGATGTGTTCAACTGAACTAACAATGCAATCTTAGACAAGTTTTTCCTGGAAATAAGCACTAATGAACTCAACAGGACTTCTTTCAGAATACACATAAATAGCAAGGCCCTTTAAGAAAGGAGAAGTTTCAGCTACAAATAAATAAATAAATGTCACCAGGAGCTGAACTCTACACCAATAGTGTCAAAAAAAAACCTAGAACTAAAAGCTTGTTTATAAACTAAAGCTGAAAGCTCATCCTTCCCTTCAACATGGCAGATGAATACAAAGTAATCTGAACACTTAATGAATCATACTGTTGTGTAGTAAAGTAGCATTCCTCATGAAGCTCAAATAAACTGTTCTATAACTGATTAGAGATACAGAAAAAATCACAAAATGTATTTGCTGCAATTAAGTCTGAGTAATCAGTCACACTTTTCTAACAATAGTAATACTCTTGAAATACAAAGAATTTTGTTTTTTTGTGAGAGTTTTTAAAATACGTATTTTTCTAGAAAGGAAAGAAATATTTTAGGAATCTATATGATATGATCTATATGGTTTTGCTAAGAAAAACAATAAGTACAATGGATGAACTTTTTAAAACAAATTTACTACTTGCATCTCTGACAAAGCTTGAATTCAGCGACCTTTCTGTGCTCCAGCATTAACTGAGAACCATGGCATGGACTTAGGGAAGGTGCATGCCTTGGGGTGTGCAGGGGTTCTCCCTTCCTCCTAACCTGTGTCAGTGTTGCTGCTGCTGCTGCAGAGCCAATGCTATACACTCTTCCAGTGTTCGTGAGGTACTCCCAGGCCTCAGGTACCTAACAGCCAGGAGACACTTGAGACAGAGCTGTTACAAGGCAAGTGCCTTCTGTTATCAGAGATGCCAAAGTAAAAAGCTTTTGCATGAGCACTGTGGCAGCACACCAAACTGGGGTGAGTAAGAAAGCAGAAAAACATTATTTCAGACAGCAAAGCATACACAGTTCTGCACCCACAGAAATAATAAGATTATCAGTAAGAAAATGGGGATGTACCAGATGGGCTCACAAACATGCAAACAGCTATATTTGACACTGCTAGAGTCATCAGCAGGTGTTTGTTCCCAACACAGCTGCAGTCCTGCAAAGTTGTTGAGGGTTTTTTTGTTTTTGTTTTTTAAGGAGCTGAATGGTTCCCATTGATTTCCATAGTAGTAAAAGGACTTCAGTTGGAGACTTTGTCTCCTCTGTTCCAGATACTGATGACCCTGTGTCAAAAGTGAGGTGAAAGATTAGGCTCCGTTATCAACAACAACCTTCCAATCCCCAGTGCCTTAAAGCAGTGGGTTTCAACCTTTTCACAGCTGGGGACCAGAGAAAACAGGAAAGCCACCCCAGGGACCACTGAAGCAGAAATAAAAAGCTGTCTCTCCCCTCACTGCTCTCCTCCCACCGTAGTGGCACCAGCACACCCCCTACAAATGCGATGCCAATCGAAGAAGAGGTGATGGAGCACAGCTAGCACATGTGCTGGTGTGCACCAAGTGGAATATGCCGCCGCCACCACCACCACCCCGCCACAGACCGGCATGAAACCTCTGAAAACCACTGCCTTAAAACACCTATAAATTTATGTAGGAAGTGGACAAATCAGACATGGAGAAGGGTCATTACACCATACGGCTATCAGTCAATTGTGGACAGTGAACACAAGAAGAGGTATAATCACTATATACAAGAGAAGGCTGTTTATAAAAATAGCTACAGAGGTAGAATTGTCCTCAGATTAAGTATGTAATTTTACGATTTAAGAGACCACCAGGGACAAGGAAACTTGGCCTGAGATGATGCACTGACACAGAGGAAAAGCTCTTACCTTTCCAATATGTTATCCTTTCATGGATACTTACATTAATATCTTTATCTCTTTGTCTCTCTTTCCATAGGCCTCCTTCTCTTCCACCTAACCTTCTCTTCTTTTTCAGTTCACTGCCTGCTCTGTCCCCATATTTCTGCTCCTACTGTTTCTCAGTCCTTGCCTTCTCTTTCTTTCACACACAACCCCTTTATACTTCATTTCCCAGTATTCAATCAATTCAGTCTGACCTGGGCTTGGAGTTTCTGGAGAGGTTTCCCTCACCTGAATTGAACTTTTGCCTGAAGGTCACCAAAAATGGATGGTTGTGAATTAGTAGCAACTTCAGCGAGGATCATTCCATTACGTCGTATCAGCCACAAAGCAGATGCCAGAGACATCATTATCACCTCTACAAGTCTCATGGCATATTGCAAGGTAGATAATAGGTGGCACTAGGGAACTGGTACAAGAGGTCTTTAACATCTCCAACACTTATTCACTACTGCTATCTAGAAATCTGACTTTGGCAGCTACTTGAGAACTGCCATCCTTAAGACAAGCAGGTTTTAACTAGCTGCACATATTGGAAGTTCAATAATTATAACAATACTTAGCTATAATACAGTCTGCCATACTGGTGTCTGAAGCTCTGACATTCATATTACCCTGGCAACATGGAGCATTTCTTCTTGCACTACTCGATCATGTGGCAAGCCCTACACCACAAAGTAGGACTCCATGCTGCAGACCATGCCTGTGCCTACGTCAGCCCTTCAATAACTCCATATGTTTTCCTGGAGAGAAGCCACAAAATGCACGGTCCTCCTGCATGGTCCAGGGTCTCATGTTATCCAGCTGCATAACAAAGAACAGCAGTACAGTTGGTCCCTGGAAACTAGGGCAGTCTTCTCCAATGTGATGCTCTCTAGATATTATGCATTACAACTCCCATCAGTTCCAGCAGAATGATGTGGTTTGTAATCCATAACATCTGCAGGTCATAACACTGGAGAAGGTTGTATCATCATCATCATCATCCTCACGCTACATTTATATCCCACCCTTCTTTCTCTTGTGAGGGACCCAAGGCAGCTTACAAGATTCTCTTCCTCTCTATTTTATCCTCACAACAACAACCCGCTGATGTAGGTTGGGCTGAGACAGTGACTGGCCCAGAGTCATCCAATGCCAAGCCATCCATTTCATGGCCAAGGGAACACTAGAACTCATATCTTCTGAGTCTCAGTTCAGCACTGTTAACCATTCTACCACACTGGCTCTAAGTTATATTCAACGTACACAAGATAAAGATATAGATATCATTCTATATATTCAATACATCCACCAGGATACATTGAACTGGCAACTTTCTATTGTTAGTCTACATAAATTCTTATCATCTTCTATCCCCTTTCAGCAACTTCTAGTTTAATCCACTTACTAAGGTTCTCCATCAACATTGGTTGTCCTGGCAAAGATCATCTAAACAGTTTATAACTGGTAATTTACAAATAACTCTCAAGATTTAAAGTTACCACTAGTTTTGATCATTCTGGTCAAGGCTGATAACTGAATATTCCCTTCAAAATATTTCTAAGTTTATATTTACTTACTTCAATTTAAGAACCAACAACAAAAAACACAACTATCAAGGTATAAATTGTATCAAAACCCATAGTCAACAAAACGAAGAAAAATGCAGCAGCTTTAGTCACATTAAACTTTGTATACATTAAACTTTGTATAAGCTTTTAACTTGTTCAATTACAGAGTTCTGGGATTAGGTTTAGATTATATTTACAAACAATGGATTTTTTCTGGATCCTCCACATCCCCAGAGTCAAAGTTCATTAAAATACTGTTGCATCAGATGACATTTATAAGCATTATTTTCAGAATATACATTAATTTTCTTGTTTTAACCTGTAAAGAACCAAATAACTATTTTGACTCAATGACCAACTATAGAAGAGAATAAGACAGTGACATAGGATTAGATAGAATCTTTTATAATACCATATGAAAGTATTGTGCTTGTTACCATGAAAAGTCTGGTTTTGAACAAGCAGACTTTTCATCTCCAGTACATTTAATGAACTCCAGTAATTTCCATGACCAGTGGTTTCAGAAACATAATAATTTAGGAAACTCAGACATAAAGAATATGCTTTATTTCAATCTGTCTCATCCTGTGTCACTAATGTCATTTACTTACACATTTGTACAGGAAAAAATGAAAAAGCAAACACATCTGCCCTTGTCATACCTCCAAAATATTTTTCCTGATAAAAATGGAGCAAAGAGTAGTGTGTGATACCTGAACTGTTCTTTCAGTAAATCCAAGTTGCTGATAGTTCTTCATATTAGAAAAAAGAATGTTTTATATTTGATATGCATATTGTTCCAGACAGCAAAGATTCTTCACTGCTTTACAAATCTAGAAGAGGAATTCATTGATATGGAATATGACAGTTACAAGAAGTCTTGGAAATTGTGGCCAGTATTCTTTATGCAAAGATTTCAATGAACAAAGTTTACCAATATTTTCCTTTCAAGCCTAGTAATAATACCATGGTTGAAAGATCAATTGTTATATAGCAATCCTTATGTTTTGATGGTAATTAGTTGCTCAAAATTCTTCTACCATTTAATTACTTGTTAGTGAATTCTGAAGCCAAGTGCAACAAATAAAATGAACTACAGAAATTATCTATTCTTCATTACTACTCAATATATTTCTTTGCAAACAGTCCTACCAAATACATAATTTTGCCTGAAGACATACCTACCTTGCCTGAGTTAAATGGAAAAAATGATCTGTTTCTAAAATACAAGCTGTTTCATATCATTCCTACCTAACAAATTGCCTTTAAAATGCCATAATTAGCTAATCATCCATTCTCAGTCACATCAGGCTGAACCTAAGATGTAGCCCAGCAAGAGGAAAATTATTGCAATTATTATGCAGTTCCTCCAAGGTCTTTCTCCAGACAGATAATATTTTGAAAGGGCACATTACCTCTTTGTGTATTTCAGTGCCCTTATCTGTTTACCAAGATTTTTTGGCAACAAGTCCAATCAAGCACGCAAACAAAACTGTGCGCGGAGACACAGCTCTCTCCACATTAACAAAACATCCTTAATACTGCTAATAAGAAACATCGCCTATAGACATATGCATCAATATCAAAATAAACCCATGCTGCCTCTGAGCATCTATTGGATCTTATAATATATTTTAAGGACAATTGATCTATCATGGATTGGCATGTTTTATTAACACTGGCATCCATTCAAAAGTGGGAATAATATAGCAGAAAGGTCCAGAAACATGTTCAGTCTTGTACTTAATAAAATGCAAACACCCCTGGGTTGTGATAAAGTCAGTGTCACCAATTAGCTATACAGTATTTTTGAGCATGCAAAAATGTATGATAGTACCTCATAAATTTATGATATGCGTTTCCATATATGACTGCATAACATGAAGGTATGTCTTCCTAAAAATATTCATGTGTGTGTGTTTCTGTATCTGAGTTCCATAGATGATCTTGACAGAATTCCCACTATTCCGCTGTCTTAAATCAAGAATGTTATATATGTACAACCAATCACTACACTTCTGCAAATATAATTTCTATGTGCAACCAAATTGGCACCATACAAACTCAGCATTAGGTTTCTAATGAGTTTCCATGTGACAGATTATGTATCTGATATCTCTGCCCTACAGCACGTCCTGGATACTGCTGGTGCTATGTAGATACCAGTGGTACAACCAGCAGTGAAAGTAGACAAAACAGCTTGTACGAACCAACACACTGTGATAGACTAAGTCACCCACATCCATCAGGGAGCGCAACACTCCTACACTCCTGCATGAATGCAACATAAAGGGTTACTTTAACCCTCGCGAATTCCGAGACAGCCAGGACAGCTCTTTGGGCAGCACAGAATCCTGCTTACACCGGACTTTACAGACCCTGCTCAAGGAATTGAGCGGTGGCTAAGGAAAAACCCATTGGCTAGCCCTCTATGTGCTGCCTTGAGTTCCTTGAAAGAGCACAATTAATAACTAGAACATGTGTCAAGTTCTGTGTTTGATTTTTAAAAAATCAGTTCCACACGTGTGTGCGTGTGCATGTCCCGCCAGGAAGGTTTCGCGACAAAGGCGGTAGCGGATCAGCCGGTACTGGTTCCGTCACTCTTCCCCACGTCCATTCGGTCACGGTGAGCTCCCCCGTGGTGCAAGGCTTTCCTCCGTGGCCCCTCGCTCGCGAGTTGGGCAGTGCCACCTTCCTCGCCTGCACGTTTCACACCCGCACGCGTGCGCACGGGAGCACACACACGCACACGCACCCCCGACCGCGGGCTCCCCCCCCTTCCGCCATCTCTGCCGCCCCCCGCGAAGTATCCGACTCCGCACAACTTCGCACAAAGTGCGCGGAGCAGCCTGGGTGGCCCCACGGCGGGCGCGAGGACTCCCGCCTGCGCCCCTCTCTCGACACTGACCTTGGGGGGCGCTTCCCGGCGCTCAGCAATGCGGGTCCGAAACAATACCCTGGTGGGCACGTGCAGCGGCCTCCTCCGTCGAACGCAACTTCTGCCCTCCGCCAGGCTGGCGAGTCTCGCAGGGCATCTCGGTCGCCCGCGCCCGCCGCCTCCTTCCCGCACCGTGCCTCGCGCTTCCCCGCGCTGCGCCCCGCCTCTGCACCCCCGCCTCGCCTTCTGCCTCTCTTTGCCTCCGCCTCGCACTTTCCCGCGGAGGGTCGAGGCGCGCGGCGTGCGGACTTGGCTCGAGTCAGCGCGGCCGTCCCTCCGCTCCGGCCCGCGGCGGTGCTGTGCCTCCGGCCGCTCGCCCGCTCGCCCTCTCCTCAGCCGCGCGCTGCGCCACACACCGGGCAGCGGGAGAGGGGCGGGGGCGGGAGGGAGGCGTGGTGCGGCTGACCTGCCGCCTCCCTTCCGCGAAGCGGCGAAGCTAATAGCCTGGCGTTGCGGCGCACGGGGCTGCTGCTTCGCGCTCGCTCGGCGCAGGGAGGAGCAGGCCGTTATTCAGCCACCGACAGCCAGTCACCGGCGGCGGCGAGCGCCACGAGCCAAGCAGCAGCGGAGCCCAGCCCAGCGCTGCGGGCGCGGACTTTCCCAGCACGCTGCACCCGCTCTCAAGTCCCAATAGGAATGGCAGCGGGCACGCTGGAGGCCCGAGCTAAAAATAAGTTTGATGAAAGTTCCCGGTGCTTTCCAGAACCTGAGCTGCGACTGCCAAACCCAAGGGCGGAACCGCCGCGACAACGGCAGCGAAGAAAACTCCTTGGCGTTATTTCGGAGAGTGAGCAGACCCTTCCCTAAGGAACGCCGCGGGAGGCCGAGGTTAGGACCGGGGCCGGCAACCACGTGGGCATGGGCGGCCGACCGCCTCGCCCAGCTCGAGAGGTCCCCCCAGCAGTTAGCCTGTTTCAGACGTGCGGAAAACATACCGCATTACTGCTCTTCTTTCGGAACACTTCTGTAATGGCCCTTCCTTTCGCCCAAGGGCTGCCTCGAACGTCAGTACATTCTTGGAGGAAGGCAGAGTTGTGTAGGAATTAGCATTGCCGGACTAGCACACGACACACAAAAATGCACAAAACTTGGCAGCAGAAAATACACCTCAGTGCAGCTGTCATGTCCAGTGATCTAAATACTGTGTGCGACATGATTTATTGGTTCGGCACTGCAGCCCAGGGAAATGCAGAACTTAGGTATGTGTGGTCTATTTTCTTTTTACTAGAACCTCAAGTTCCACCAGCCAGAGCCTGGCACAGAGGATGGAGACTTAGAATTAAGAAATCTGAGCCCCAAAGTGTTTGCTGAACTGAATGGAGCTCGCAGCCTTTTAACTAGTGCAAGACGTCGTGCTGCAAACGTGGGAGGACACGCCTTTGCCCTCTCTCCCTGCCATTTCCCCGCCATCCCTGTCTTTCTGTCCCCATCTGTGCTTTGCTCTGAGTTGACTTTTTTCAGAGTGAGGCTGGGCTGGAGTCAGGACCACCTCATCTAAAAACCTTACAGGCATTGTAACTGAGCGTATTTCAGGCAGGAGGTTGTATGAGCCTGCCATAAGGTTTGCTCACATATAATAGCAATATAGTTAGCATGATACTATAAATAGGTATAAAGAAGGATAACAGAGATAGCAAAAGTTTGGCTCTATGAGACTGACCAAAGATTGACTTTGAGACATTTTTTAACCAGAGTGAATTTCTGGAGATTCACTTGACATTTCTTTAAGGAAAAGTTTGTAGTTGATGCATTTTTTACAGTTACTGAGACACATGGTATTTCATGAAAAACTGAGGACTTTTCTAGTTTCTCTGGAACTAACAAAGACAGCAGAAGTGACCTTAGTACATGGGAGGCACTTAAAGCAAGGCACTCTTACTCTAAATCTAAGGCATAAATTATTTATTCATTTATTTTCTGATTTATATCCTGCCTTTTTCCTACAAAGGGCTCAAGGCAGCTTACATCATTCTCTTACTCCATCTTATCCTGACAACAACAATCCTGTGAGGTAGGTTGGGCTGAGAGTCTTTGACTGGCCCAAAGTCACCCAGTTGGCTCCATGGCGGAGTGGGGACTCGAACCCAGATCGTCTGAGTCCCAGTCCCATGCTCTTTAACCACTACACCACACTTAAGCAAGTTGGGCATATTAACTTGCTTAAGGTAAAGGGAGTTTTCACCTTGTGGGTGGGGTTCCTCTCTCCTGTTTCCTATTCCATATGTTGACAGATGTGTTATAAGTCTGTTTTTCTTGCCGTTTCTGTATTAAATATGAAAGTTGTATGTGAATTAAATTTTATATTAAAACTACTTTCATTTATCTTGAACTATTGAGAGTATGGTTGATGTTTAATTATAAACTAGTAGTTTGAAGTAAAATCATAAAGAAGCCAGCAGAAAAGCTCACTCTTCAGAGCAAGGTATTGGGACCTGGCAGTCCCTTTGAAGAGTTTTACCAATTGCTTTTGTGCAGCTGCTGGAGGACAGCAGTTGAAAAGTACTCTAGAGAGCCTGCCCAGCCCCTCACTCTGAGCAATGTTAGAAGAGGCATTGGACGAGAGTTGCTCCATAGACCTGGGCCAGCTGTCTACTGTTGGAGGAGAGAGGAGCAGCTTTCCCCTTCCTTTCCAGAGCAAAACATCCTGACATCATATAAAGGCAAAAATTAGCAGGCAAGTGTAGGATGAATTCATCTGCCAAATCTCTGCTATAAATGCCCTTCCTGTTCATGTTGTCTCAGTGGGCACAAGTTTCAGAAAACACATTCAAATACAAAATTCCTCCCTCAACACCTTTCCCTACACAATTTCCAGTAGTAAGGTGTTCAGAAGGAAATGTGTAACTTCCCAACAGGCTTGAGCCCAGGCGCTTCTCATTTAGGATACAAGATGCTTAGGACCATTTTCCACATGACAGTTTTCTTACAGGGAGTTTGGCTGTATAGGAAACCATACATCCAAGTGTAATGAACTGCTGAATGTCCATACAGTTAACATAAGCTAGCCATGTGGTAGAAAATGTGTGGAAACATAATACCTTACATGTTGTTATGCATACTTTTCTTACATGGCAGTAACATCCATATTTTTAAAAAATGGAAAGTCAGGCCTAGTGTGTAAGGGGAGAGATGACTGTTCGTTGAGAACTCTTTCCGCCATCTGAATCTTCATCTGAACAGATGGTATTCAGCTTGCAAAAACTGGGCCGTTAAGACCACTAAAAATCCCATTGGACCAGAATACTCACTACCCAAAACAGTCATAACCCTTAATTACAGCAGGTTTTAACAATTTGCTTGCTTAGCCAACCAGTGGGTTGAAAGTAATAAACTACACAGCTGATTGCTATCCAAGGCTATTTTTAATACTAATCTTTCTCCTCCTTATTCCACTATCTACAAATCAGATAACATGTTCATGCTTATCATAGATTCAATCTGGATGTGGGAAAGTAGCTGTTAAAAGAAGGCTTGAAATGGTACAAGTTTAAAATGTGCTTATCATTTTATAACAAATCTCTTGGTATTTATTTATTTATTTATTTATTTTAAGGCTTTTGTAAACCATTCAATTAGCAACAGCTCTAAGAACAATGAACAATTTTAAACAATCTAAAAACATAATATGCATACAATATACCACAAGGCAGTCATCTTCATCGTAGCAGAACAACAATCAACGATAAAAATAAATAGTGAATAATAATACATTATACAAAGGTAAAACCAAATCACAAAATGCTAATGACATATAAATAAAACTAATATCAAATACAATAACATCATTATCATTAACATTATAATTTTGTTTAACAATTAAAATGCCAGGCAAATAAAAAGGTTTTGACCTGGTGCCAAAATATATAAAAAGTTGGTGCCAGGTTCACCTTTCTGATCAGCTGGTCCCATAATTGGGGCACCACAACTGACAAGGCCCTTCCCCTTTCTTACTTTTAGAGGTGGCTCCTGAAGAAAGACCTCTGTAGATGATCTTAGGGTTTGGGTATGTGTATATAAGCAGATACGCTCCTTTAGATAGCCAGGCCCTAAGCCGTGCAGGGCTTCATACATTAATATAAGCACCTTGAAGTGGATCCAGACTTCAGCTGGTAACCAGTGTAGTCAATAAAGCACACTGCTTATGCATTTGTACCTACACAACTCCCAGGGTTCTAAGGCACTATCTCCCAGTACCACTTTCTGGAATCAGGTAGGAGTGGAACCACTGTAAAGCAGTGCCTTCAATTCCCAACCCAACTCCAGAAGGATACCATGATTAATGATACTGAGAGATCCAGGAGAACCAACAGGGATGCATTCCCCCTGTTTTTCTCTCAGCAAAGGCCATCCTGCAGGGTGACCAAGTCAGTTTCAGTCCCAAAACCAGGTCTGAAACTGGATTGAAATGGATCCAGATGATCCATTTCCTCCAAGACAACCAGGAGATGCCCAGCCATCACCTGCTGGCCAGCCACCAGCCAACTTGCTCAAAAAGGGAATATTGGCCACTGGCGTATAGTTGTTAATGTTGTCTGGGTCCAGGTTTGTCTTCTTCAGGAGAGGCCTGATTACCTCCTCCTTTAAGGAGGTCAGGAGCTGTCCCTCATTCAGGGGGACATTTACAATTGCCTGAACCCGGGACCACATTCTCTCCTTGACTTTGATAAGCGGCGGCAAGGGGCAAGAATACTGGTGGTAGACCAAACTTGTCCAAGCACCTTGTCCACGTCATCAGGCCTCACCAACTGAAACTTATCCAATAAAACAGGACTAAATGGTTCTCTGGATACCTCAATTTCAGGAACTACTTAAATGTGGAGTCCAATTTGTGCTGAATCTGATCAACTTTATCCTCAAAGTGTCATGCAAACTTGCCACAGTGGGCTGCCAAGGGATCTACTAGATCTTCTTTTGGGCCTGCATGCAACAGGCCATGGACCCCTCAGAATAGCTCCACTAGAAAGCACTGGGAAGACGCAATGCTGGCGGAGAAGAAAGCTCCCTTTGCTGCCTTCAGTGCCATGGAGTAGGCTCGATAATGAGCTCTTACCTGTGTTCAGGCGGATTCAACTTGGATTTTGCTCCACCTGTGCTCTAGCTGTCTACCCAGTTGCTTCATTGCCCACAGTTCTCCAGTATACCATGGAGCCACATGGGCTCTGCACATGGGAAGAGGGCACTTAAGGGCAATCACATCAACTACCTGGGTCACTTTTGTAAAGCAACCTGGGCTTCTACAGGAGTGCTAACCATGTCAGCCATAAATGTATGTTGGAGGCATTTTCTCTAGAA